TGGCATTCGATCCAAAGTTTAATAAAATGTGCCAGACCCCAAAGTGGTCACCTTAACATTTAAAAAAAAAAAAAAAAAAAAACTAAGAAATACTTCTTATCATTATCTTTCTATTAACCTTTTTCTAATTCTGATTTTTGAGTATCAAAATATCACGAAACATTTCTTTGATTATATAACATCTGATTAATGAGAATAATGTTTAAATATTGATAAAAGTTTTTTTATTTATTGAACATTTAGATCGAATAGTTTCGTTAATTACTACCCTGCAATTGAGATCCACATAGAGGAAGTTATCCAAACTATAAAAATAATAGAAGGTAAAACAGCCAACTTAAAAAAAAATTCTTTTAGTTGTTGCTGAATTTTAATCTTAACAAGACATGGGTAATTCTCTTACTAAACAAGATAATCGATATCATGAGTCATATGATATTTGGTGAGATTAATAAATTAGGTCATACAAAATACTATCTGTGATTAATTATTAGTATGCTGAAATAGTACCTACATAATATTTAGGGCATATCTTATAAATAAAATCACATTGTTTATTAGTGCATCAATATAGGTTTGGACATTAGTTTTCGTTTTCTCGCTTTTTTTTCTTTGTTTCTTCGTCGGACTATAATTTGATTGGCCTTACCTGAAGTCGGGATATTGATAGGATCTGGCATTTCTTTACATCAAAAACTAGTAATTTATTTGAAGCTAATAAAAAGATCTACTAAACGCTCAAATAAGTAAATGAAAAACAAGAAAAAAGCAAGAAAAGAAAACAGAAGGCAAATGAGGAAAGTAATAAATGTATATGCTAATAGATAGTTTATTATTATTACGTATTATTATTATGTATTAATCCTCTTGAAAAAAAAAGCATTCAGTAAAGTAGTATTGTATGGCAATACATATAGGGCAAGCGCTAATCTTGTTTTGTTTTTGTAAGAAGAGGTAGTAGGAAAACTTGGTTTGACGAATTTTTTTTTTTACAAACCGTACATCCTATCATGATCTCTACACATCCATATTTCTGTACTATACTATTTTATTATGTACTCTGGATGTTTTTTCGAAAGGTATATTTGTTAAAATTTTATATTTATTAATTTTGTTAGCAAAATTAAAATTTTAATAAACTAGATTTAACAAAATTATCATACAAGCGCAAAATAACGTGCAGAGGTGTAAATTTGAAGTTTGACCTAAATTAGGCTTAATTCGGGCCATGATTCGAAATAACGCTCATGGGCATTATTTCGTGCTTGTACGAAATTTGGATTATAGAAGCTGGAAAATAATTCGTACATTAACACTAATTTAAATGAATATAATATATAGTTAAGATAGTTAAAAATCTGAAACTGTGTTAGAAATTTAGAAAATTATAACGATAAAAAAAAAGCTTTCATTTTCATGAGATAAATAATCTTTCACAAGGTATAATGTCATTATAAATATTGTTTTTACACAAAAGTTATTGACATATATCTTCAAACATATATTCTTGAAAAGACTTGATCTTTCACAATAAAAGATGTTTAATGTTAAAAATTTGATTTAAACTCTATATCGATTCAAAAAAAAATATTAATTATATAAAGAAATCGAAGCATATAAAGAGTCTTCCAAGAACATAAAATAAATGAAATAAAAATACATTTTAGTGTCTAAATAAATAAATGATTGTGTTGAATAAAAAAAAAAAAATTACTAGTTGCTTAAATCATATTAAAATAGGATATAAAATTAGTAATTTTGGATTTCACAATTTTTTCTGAATGAATGAAAAATAATTATCGCAAAATGCTATGTAAACTATGATTGTAGTTAAATATATTGAATATATCAAGTAATAAGAAATAATCCTCATGTTTACCCATTATATTATATGAATAAACAATACCTAAAAGAGACAGGTAAAAATGAATGTCAAAAAGCTTTGGATAGTTTATTATAAATGCGTATCAAACTGTACAATCATATAATCCCACCAAACACTTAAAAAAAACAAATCACGAATAATAGATTCTAATTAATCTATTTAGTTTTCATTTGAAAAATTCATTTTCTTAAAAATTTTTTTGAGAGATCTTATTTATAAATCTAAATGATTAAATCGACAAAGATTTAATATTATCTTAATGATCGGTATATGACGAATTTTAATAACATTGCACTGATGTTTATCGTTACTTTTCTGCGCTTATTTAGACAACAGTATGTATTAGCTCTTATTGCTAATTTGACTACGTATTTAAAATTTCTTGCACAATATTTTATTATAGAATGTACTTATCATATGGAGCGAACCTGTTTCTAAACCTAATTTTAGATCGACCAGATCCATGAAATAAAATCTTGTTTTTCCAAAATTCGACGCTTCTCTCCTCACCTTCCATTTCAATATGATCTATAAAATCAATAAGATAATCTACGCGTTTTGTCTCCTCCTTCTTCAGTTCATTATATTGTTTTTCAACGATATCAAACAAATTGATAAACTCATTCTCTGAACAGATGACAATAAGAAGATCAGATTTCTTTATTTCATCAATCACGCTGGGAGAAAAACCAACATTTGAAATAAAAAATCCAAAAATTTCATCATCTTCATTCGCCAACTTATCCTTGAATTCTCAAATCTTATCAGCTCTAACAAAACATTTGCGCAAAAGCCAACAAGTCTGGATTATATATAAGAAGTTACAAAACTTCCTCTTCCGTTTTATAAGCAACTCGAATATCATGTTCTCATATTTGGCCTCTCTTTCTGTAACGTTTAACTAAACAAAAAAAATACAAATAAAAATAAAAAGTAAACACGACGTGTTTTTCATTACACAACCGTCAGTTCTGTGAAATGCTTATTACGGTCCTTTCAATATCGACTATTCAACCAAAATAACTGAGACGCTTCGCAGGTCCTGGCCAGCGTAACTTCATCAACATAGTGCTCAACAGGACATGCAGTGAGAATGCTCATCTCATAAAAATTATCGCAGTTGAATATAGATTTTACAGAAGTATTGAATTTACAGTCGTAAAAATTAAGTTTAATACAAAATTTTCTGTTTTTTTTGATAACAATTTTCTCTTGTTTGAGTCTAAGTGGCATTGTTTTTTTTTATTGAAAATATCTATACACAATTCCAGAACTTATATGTTCTGCAGTAATTATGAGGTACACAAAACTAGTTGTCAGATTTGCATATTTGCGCGAGAAAACAATTCAAAAAGGAAATTGAATATGTTGCCATTTTGGTAGCGTTCCCACAATGTTCATCTCTATAATTTTGACCAATCAAAATTTAGGATCAGGTGTAATGTGATAGTTAAAACAAACATATTTTCAAAATAAAAAAATCACGCGTAAAATTAAAGAAAACTATATTATAGTTAGAGTTAAGACTAGAATAATGTGATGCCTACTAGTAAAATTTCACAAGAAATATTTTTAATTAGGCCATAGAAGGTGATTTATAATTAAATTTAGAGCTCTGTTTCGTTTCGATTTCATGTTGCACCTGATACTGAAATTTGATTGGTCAAAATTACAGGGGTAAACAATTGTTTGTAGGAGAGCTATGTAGGGATTTTTTTGAGTATAGAAGTTTCATATTGTATCTTGTTTATGAATGTACTGTACAGTACATAAATTTAAATGTATTATATATATATATTTATGTCATACTCCAGATTGGAATCGTCCTGATCCAGAATTGGGCTGGAATCTTGTGAATTGTTTTGGCAGAATTAAGACTTTAGGGTTAGTGTTAGGGTTAGAATTGGGTTTATAATAAAAAATTTTTAATTTTGGCTTGTATAATTTAGACAAAATTACAAAATTCTCATCTGAAACTGTTCCCGATTCTAAATCAGGACAGATTCCAATTCGGATACAACATATATATTCATAACTTTCCCAAAAAATGTAACTTTTTGCAATGATCATATATAACGTAATACGATCAGAAAATTTTAAAACAAACGTCCGCTTTGTCGCTTATTTTTTGAAAATATGCATAAGAAATCTTTGTGCTTTAACAAAAAAGTTTTCACCAAGCAATTTTACTATATCCCATTTAATATCTAACTTTAAAGTCCTAACATAAAAGACATAAAATTGCAGGTGCATACGTATATACACAACAATGACCGAAATTAGAGTTAAGTTTAGGGGTGGAGTTGGGAAAATTTTGGTATATTTAACTTACATCATCAGCGAATTATATAAACATAATCTTACATAAGTTATTACGGACCGAAAAATTCTGTAATAATTATGATCGATGTGGAATATTCCGCAATTTTTAATTATGGAATATTACGAAATATATTACGCAATATTACGAAAAAAATTTCGAAATA